TAAATCCAAGAAACATGGTAATACCATGGTATTTTTTGTTATTGCTGTATAGAGTGTAAATCATGTCACTTTCCAGGGCTTGACTGAGTTTTTTTCCTTCTTCCCCGTTACAAGCTATAAAATAAATTAAACATCTAATTTAAGTATTACTGTGTTCATGAAACATTCGAGGGGGAATTCACTAAGAATGAATTATGCCTTCAAATAGCTTATCTCCCCCACCCCCAAAAAGCCCCCAAAATGTCCCAAAAATTTCATTTGCAGGCCAATTCCCATCTTGGAGGCCAGTTCCCCTTCTAGGGAACTCGAGCTGTGTTGAGATGCTGTGGGAATGCCCCTGCGTGATTGCGTTGTGAAGCACATCTATAATCAGTCCAATGGAGAAACATTACATCATGGGCGGGTGACGTCAGGAAACTATAAAGCACACATACATTTATATACTGTATATATATATATATTTGACAGGAGTATGGAGAGCAAACAGCCTTGGATCGTGTGTTCGTCCTTGCCCTTGCTTCATTATGAGTAGGGACACGCGATCCATGTGTTGTCTGTTTGGGAGTGGAGCATGCACGATCAGCTCTAGTAAATTACGGCTGACAGTGTTCATTCATAAATTCCCAACGTGTCATATGCACTATCGAGAGTTTTAGCTCTGATGTTGTTGGTTTTCTTCTCGAGGGAAAAAAGTCAATAAAGATGTGGCTCTGATCTTGCATTTGCCGAGGCAGGGCGTAGATTACGGGTTTGCAATAAGAATCTATTGGCTCAGATCTTGCATTTGCCGAGGCAGCGCGTAGATTGTGGGTTTGCAATAAGAATCTATTAGCTCAGATATCGCATTTGCGGAAGCCCTGAACTGCAACTTAATAATAATAATAAAAAAAATCTGTAAATTTTTTTTTTAAAAATCTAGCGTTTCATGATTAAAGTCGAAATGTTTCAAGATTAAAGTCAAAATGTTACGATAATGCAGTCTTCCATAGAAGTGTGTGCATTCAAAACAGTGCACTTCCACTGGCTCAGAGCATGTGCGTGTATGTTGTGTGTGTGTGTGTGTATAAATAAATGCACTTGTGAAGTCGAACTGCCATGGATCAACACAAAATAGTAGCTATTTACTTTTATCATGAAGCAGCACACAAGTGCTAATCTACCAACAAGAATTACCATGACGTTGCCTATAGATAAGATGAGCGCACAGACCCCGCCGGAGTAGGTATCACAATATGGCCCAAACTTTATGTGGCAGTGTTATTGAGGTGTTTTCGTGCTCGTCTAGGCAACACTATCTGGGTTGAGAACACAACAATAACTGTTCTGTGTCTGTCCCCTCTTCACCGTAAAAAAGTTCTGGATACATTTTAAGTGCATCATTCTCATCATTCAAAGTGCAGCACTGTGAGGCGTCTGACCAAGATACTAGGAGTATGGCTACCTCAAAGGCTATTACTTGGAGCTCCTTGGGTCTAGGGTGCTTGCTTCTTAGTGTGCGCAATGACTTCACACAGAACAGGCATTTGCTATTATGGTGTAGTGGGTATAGTATTCCCACAGCGTCTCGACACAGCTCAAGTTCCCTTGAAAGACAACGTGTCAGGTTTCGATTGTAACCCTGGTTCCCTGAGAGGCAACGCGACGCTGCGTCACCCTGCTATACTCCCTGCATGCCTGTGATCGACTTTATTCGGCCTATTAGAAGCTAGCGCGGTCTGTTTTCAGGTATGCTTTATAGTTTCCTGGTCGATGACGTCACCCGCCTATGACGTCTCGTCTCTCCATTGGACTGATTAGACACGTGCTTCATCACGCAGGGGCATTCCCACAGCGTTCGACGCGGCGTCTCGTTCCATCTCAGGGAACCAGGGTTCCAGTCTTAACCTGAGACGTTCTATGGAGGACCAATTTACTAAAAATTAAATAATTAAATAAATAATAAATTCACTAAAACAACAATTACATTTATGTTTATTCTTAAATATGTAAATAATTAATTTAATTAAAATTCCATCAAAACACATCATTTATTGTTCAATATATTTCACAATATCCTCTTTCTCCCACTATTACTGTTTTTAAATAAAACATTTTTCATAATAAAATGTACTTTTTCTAAAAGCCGTTATTCATTATAATATGCTGAATTGACAAATGACGCCTATTTGATGAATCATGTATCTCCAAAGCACAATTTTCCCAAACATTTTTTTTTTCCCACAAGAATAGAGGACATTTCACAAATGCCAATCAACAATGATTGCTGATTAGCAAATCCATTCAGATTTTACTTAGGTCTACCGAGTGGTGAGGTGAATTGAAAGATTGGAAATGAACATGGCTGATCAGGAAGGGAATGTTTGGTGATTCTCTGTTATCTGAATTAGATGACATAAAGGATCTGCTAGTGGTGACAAGTGTGTCAGAGGATCTAGAAATGCTGACTACACAAGGAACACTTTACAAGCGATTGAACACAGAGTTCTTGTAGATGAGTATGCGAGAATGTGCTTGGAAAACCATGTCTAGATGTTCCAGTAGATTCAATCCGGAGATATGTGAATGCGGGATTTAGCTAAATAAAATTGCCAATTTGCTTGATGTTCCCATAAGCACTGTTCAAAGAATGGAGCTCAATGGACTTTGGTAAGACATTTAGTAGTATATTATATAACATATACGTTGACTCGTGCTTTTCCTTCAATGTCCTCGCTGTAGCCCGAGAAATTCACGCAAGGACATCAGATATTGTCTCAGTTATTCGTCATGCTTGCAAGTACATAGTACATGAGAAAACTGTGAATCGGCATTCCGTGACTAATGTCACCAACCACACAAAGGGCCCTATCATAAACCTGGTGCAATGCGATGTCAAGCACGAAGCATGTGTGTGCTGTTCTGAAAACGATGTCGGGTTGGCGGGTTGCCATTTTGAGGCAACTGAAATTGCACAGTATATATATATATATATATAATTTTTTTTATTTGAACAGTGCGTTAATAATGCCATAGATGGCACATATATGGTTTTGTTTCCTTGTTAGAGAAGCATTCAGTCTTTCCGCTCGCAAATTCCGCCATGTAAATAGCGAATCCGCCATAGCACGAGCGCAACTTTCTTTTAAAAGAAATGAGAGTTGACACTCTGATTGATTTATTGCATGTTATGCCCAAAACACACCCATTACTCATTAAGAGAATAGGGACAACGCTTTTAGACCATGCACCGGGAGCACCGACCCACTAAACAAGCAAAAGGGGATTCGGACACGCCTGTTGACTTGCATTTGAGAAATGTCCACTATTAAAATGCAAAAAAAAAAAATCTTTGAGAAAATCGTGGTTTGGAGATACATGATTCGTCAAATAGACATCCTTAGTAAATGCAGAATATTATTATGAAAAACAGTTTTTTTGAAAAAGCACATTTTATTATGGAAACTTTTTTAAACAGTACAATTCAACCCGGTCTCATCCCAAGACGTCATATAACTGACGTTTTGGGACGTCTTTTGACCATACGTCAATATTCGCCTTTTTAGGGCCCCCTTAAACGTCGGTAGATGAGGTTATGGGATCCTAACTCTACCCCATACCTAAACCTAACCCTTAACCTAACCCGTCACCTAACTGACGTTAAAGGTAAAGCGTCAGTTGTATGACGGCCCGGGATCGCCATCTACCGACGTTTAAGGGGGCCCTAAAAAGGCGGATATTGACGTATGGTCAAAATACGTCCCAAAACGTCAGTTATATGACTTTTTGGGATGAGACTGTGTTATACAATTATGTGAAAGAGGATATTGTGAAATATATCAAACAATAAATGTTGTTTTTTCATGGAATTTTGCTAAATAAATAGATATATGTGTTTATTGATTGATTTAGTTTATTAATTTTTTTTTTCCAGAGTAAACTGGTACATTTAATTGTTGTTCTATTGAATTCATTATTTATTACATTTTCAGTTATTTGATCCTCCATAATTCCAGGTTGTGGAAGTTGCAGATACGTCTCTATTAAATGCATAAAGTGTGCTTGTATACACAGCATTTCTTGATATATGCTTGGTTGTAACACTCTTCTCCATATATTACTGCTGCCATGATCAACATAAAATTTTCACAGACATTTAATTAAAGAAAAATAATAATAATATAACGCTGTTTTTTTCTGAATGAGGTGGAATCTATTCAATTTTCATGACTGAAAAGAAAAGAGTTTTTGTGCTGAAAAGAATGAAAATGAAATTATTATTATTATCACTATTTCATTTAAGCTTCTGGTTAAACTGGATTGCAGGTGCTAAGTGAATAAAAAAAATATACAAAAAAAATGTGTTTAAATAAAGATAATGTGCTTTTTAGTGAATTCACCCCTCAGTCTCATTTCCTCCCAAATATAAATCGATTCATCATGTGTGCCACCAAATATCTCCATCAAACCTGGTATAGTTCATTTTAAAAGGAGAAAGAAACTACGAAAAAACATCATGATATTACAATTTTGTTTTAGCAACTTGATATTTTCTCTTTTTTTAATTTATTCTTAAAATAGTTCATTATAAAAAAGTATTTAATGTAAATGAATCTAAGACGTTCTGAACTGTCTCTGGAGGTGTCAAGACTTGGAGGTGAGCACTGTGCAAACAAACACAAGCACAAAAATCAATCTCAGAAAAGCCGAATACAAGAGCTTTTCTCCGACCCTTTACAATACAAAAGCTAAAAGTAGATTCCATGTTTGCGTTTCTGCAATTAAGCAATTCTTTCCTTTGCATGTTGTCCGTTTTCTTCCTTTTACATAATGTTCTCGTAGTCCTGTTTTCGAACCTGTAAAAGGAAAATTGCTACTTGAGTTTGAACTTTATAAGACTGGACTGCGTTATGGAGCAGAGCATTACCCACATTCTACATCTGTCATTTCCACAACGTTATTCATGTTAAATAAGATTCTCTACAAAGGTACAACATATAAAACTGTTAAATATATAACTCGTAGGCCTTTTCAAAATACATATAATGACATCTCACTCCAGGTAATCAGAAATTACCATTTTTATGTTCTTTTTTAATATTTTCTGATGATAAGCAACAATGGGGTACTCTTCCATTTAACCTTCTATGTTTAATGCAAAATGTTGCTACTGAAAAATGCTAATTTAATTTCTTGATGCGTTTATGTGTACAGTATCTATATCCTTGTTGTCCTTGGAATACAGTGCTTGGTTCAGTTCAAGGAAATCTGTAAAGTATTAAAGGTTCTCCTTGGATTGTGATAAATGGGAATGTTCGACCCGGTGTCGTTTCAATGTTCCACGTCAGTGTTTCCATAGCAAAGTCTTTCTATATCTATCTCTCTCTCTCTCTACATTTAGGTTTATATATATATATATATATATTGATTTTTTCTTTGCCAAAATTGTTCCTTTTGTGTCCTTCCCTCAGTCTGCGCTCACATAGTCAATGGTTTTTTGTTTGTTGTCTATAATTTTTTCTCTTTGGTCTGTAAAAAAACGAGCGCCAAAAACGTACTCCAGCAGAAAGCCGTTTCACAGAGCAGTTCGCAGTCTCGGATTGGGTCGGAACCGCTGGTGGAGTTCCGTAAAGCCTGTGTCTGATTCAGTCTCAGACAGGATAGGCGCCTCATTGTCCCTTGCTGCGCTCTTAAAGTCCTCAAGGCTCCTAATGTCTGTGAGGCGCTTTGTGAACGTACAGTGTGTTCTCCGTGGCACAAGGGGGTGCTGCCCATTTACAAAGCAGAGACTCAGACAGGTAGGCAGAGGCAGGTGTTAAGCCGATGAGACATAGCAAGTATCTACAGCAGGTGGGCGACACAGCAAGAGGCCTCGTCTCGTAGCACTCCAGGAACCCCTCCCACTGTTAGGACACCTAGATCAATCAGAAACACACAAGGAGTCAAGATTAATAATGCAATTCTAGGAATGTAGCGATGCAATGAAACGTGGCACATTCAGACAATACGTAGGTATAGCAGTATTACTGTTGTACAGATAAAACAGCCCGTTCTCATCCTTTAACGTCATATAGAACGCTATATGCAAAAACGGCGCTATACTACGCACATGGCACCCTTTATCGTTAATATAACACGCGAACCCAAGACGTCATAAATCCTTTAGCGTGAATATGACACACCCTACCCCACACCTAAACTTAGCCCTCACAGCGCGTGTTATATTAATGATAACGGGTGCCATGTGCGTAGTATAGCGCCGTTTTGTCATATAGCGTTCTATATGACGTTAAAGGATGAGAATGCGTTGGATAAAACGTTGTCAGGATAATTCCGTTTCATATGGCTACGCGGAATCGATAAAAAAATTCTGATTATACATTTTTCAAGGCTTCTACCTTGGAACCTATCCCAGAATTTGACGAAAAACTTTTTTAATAATCTATATTAAATCACACAAATATACTTTATAGATTTAATCTTACTTTATTAACCAATGTATTTCTGACCTTCACTGTTCTTTTCAACCATATTAATAAGCAAAAAATACTTTAGGTTAGATTTAGAAATAGGAGTGTTGAACTTCCTCTCCTGTATCCTTTCCACAAGTTTCCGAGGGGCGCTCCTGTAAAAAATAAAGTGGGTGAAACTTCCGGTGACGCGGCGGAAGTAGCATTCCAATGGTATTTTGTGTGTTAGTTAGCGAAGAGGCTAGCTGTTTTTCGGAGAATTATTTTACTATTTAAAAACGCAAATCTTTATGAGAGATGTCGTTACGGAGATCAGGGACAACATGTGCTGTTCGCGGTTGTATGTATAACCGGATTAAACTAGTTCAGTGGCTTAAACGTGATTGTTTTGAACATAAGCTGAAAACGAAATCAGAGTGATCCTGCCAGAGCCCGTCTCTGATCCTGCCAACGACTGTAGTTTCCATCACCTCCCAAAAGACGACGAATCTTCCTGTGTACATTTGTTTAAATTCTTAATATTTTATAAACTCTATCAGCATGTGATTGGCTGTTCGCTACTGATGTTACACCTAAACTCAGGATCAAAGCCTGTGTTGACAGAATACCAAATGTGCCAGTTAATGTATTCAAGTAGCACATTCATTTATAATTTTGAATAAACTCCAAAGCACAATGACTAAGTGTGTATTTTTTATTTTAATTGTTTGTCAGCTCGCACAACTGTCTGTCACCATGCCTTGATGAGTATTGATTATTAATAATGTTATTATAATACTTCTAATCAACTACTGCGGAGGGTAAAGGTACTGTTATTTCACCCTTTTTAATTTCGTTGTTGTGTTCCCACATCGTTAGCTAGTTTGGATCGCTATAACTTGAATGACTGTCAACTGTTGAATGAACGAGTGTCAAGCATGTCAAATCGCGCCTTGTTTACTTCCTACCGGAAGTCGCGCCCACTTTTGACGCAAGGCCTCATGGGGCGTAGGAAACTTGTGGATAGTTATACTTAAATCCAGAATGGCAGCACAGCTGAAAGGTTTATTTGTGCGGTGCCCTCTACTGTACAGGCATAACTATGCATTTCCTTCAGCCTGAGGCTTTTTCATTTCACTTTTATTTGGAGAAAATAGAACTTTTTTTGTTGTTGTGCAATAGTACTCAAGTAACACATTACTTTTCATAAAAAGTAATTAAATTCAGTTGGTTTATTTTTTTTTTTTTCATTACTTTTAAAATTAGCACTGGCAATGACAGTGAAAAACAAGATAGGACAAGACTTGGACTATTTACATTATGTTTCGTTAATGTGTCTGCAGCAGTCATCCATGAGGGGCTGCTGCTTTTACTTTTGTTTTGTTGTTTGTTTATTTTACATGATTAAAGTGTGTGAAACGTTAGCCAGTTCCTGCCTCCTCCTTCTCTGATCCTTTAATCACAGGTTTCCAAATGTCATTCTTTGCTTTTTCCAGTCTGCTTTTTTTAAATTATATTTTTAATTATTTTAATAAATTGTTACTCATTGTCATGGATCACAAGATGTTACAGGCCATAACAATATATATATATATATATATATATTCTATAAAAAATTATTATATAAATGACAATCATGATTTCTTGTTGTCAAAATTAGACAATGTATTTTTCCATCATGTATTCTTGTGTAATCAAACTATTTGATTTAACTTTTTTTTTTACATATATAATATTTGATAATAGCCCAAAATAGTGCACTTTCCTAATTCTACAACATTAAATTGTTTAAAAATAACTTATCTTATAAAAATGTGTATCCATAAATCAATTATTTTACCATGTCATAAAATCTGAAGTATGTTTGCTATCTCAGGAAATATTTTCATCTAAAAAGTTCTTACACCAAGAGTTATTCTGTAAAACGTCACAATTGTTACCGCAATATCAAAAAAAAAAAGAAAAAAAAAAGAAAAAAAAGAATGAAAAAAGAGAAAAAGAAAAGAAGAATTTCTCACTTATTACAAGGTTGTTCAATAATCTTTAAATAATGATTTCATTAGTGTCATGGGCTCTTAGTATTTATCTCTAGCAAAAATAATCTGAATCCAGATGGTTTAGTTGGTTTCCCTGACAAACCAAATTATTTAGAGAAATAGTGGTTTATTGGTCACCTGGCTTGTCTCTGGTCCAGTCTGATCAGATAACAAGTGCCCAATGGAGACACTTAAACTAGCAGATGTGTTTTTTGTTTTTTGTTTTTTCCAAGAGGGAGGTACAATTTAAACATTTAAGATTAGACAAGTGGCTATAGGCCTTTAGATGCAAATTCAACTCATTTTAATCTGTGACGAAAGTCAAAGATATTATAATTCTTTCGTAACCAAGCTAATATTTGAAAACTGTTGCTTTCCTCAGCAGCTGCCACAGAAAATGCCCTCAGCATCACCTGCTAAATGGTCTACTGCCAGGCTGGAAAAAGGCATCAAATCCTGCCAACATGGGCTGCTGCTTAATTTACAATAATGAACTCTTGACACTTGTATGGGGAGCAGATATTCATGGATTTAGCAGGTGGATGAAACATTACTGAGTCTGAATATGGAATAACAGGGATAATCAGGATGAAAATGAACTCAGGAAAGTGATAAAGCGACCCAAGAGTGTGGAGGCTAAAGACAAGAGTATGCTATTGTTAATAAACTGCATGAAATGAAGCCGCTAACTCCTGCTTTAGAATCCCATATGCTCAAGCATATTTTTTAGCAATTGGCTTACATGTGAATGACCATGTGTTAAGAATCATACACCCTTTTCATTGTATATATTTTGTATAATGTTTATTTAATATACTGGAGAGATGCTATTGAGATGAATGGGAACACAAACAGTAGATCATTCTCTAAGCAGTGTCATGTCACTTGGTGGCGCTATAATTGAACAAAACATGGAATGGGCTCTATGCACGGTGATATTTCCAGTGAAGGTTTAAGGATGCTCGATAACTTCCGATTCCAATGCAATACCGAGAATATATTTTGAATTTTATACTCCATGGTTATACTAAAAAAAACGTTAGTCACAAAAACAGATAAAACAGACACCCCTCATTGTGTTTCTGCTTATTTTAAAAATTATATTAAATAAACATAACTATATATCAAATTAGATCTAAACGTATGAAAGTTTCGTTTCAAAGACGGGACGACCGTAAATTTTGAAGACTCCCCCATAATCCCGTTTTCCTCGGTTTTCCTCCGCTTTAATCTCCCCAACCGGAAACTGTAGAGCATCCTTGCGTCAAATGCGGAACTTATGCGTGCATATAGCCCATTGGCTCTAACTACAGTACCGTTGGTCTGATTGAAAATCAAATGTTGTATTTGTTAACATTAGTTAATGCACTGTGAACAAACATGAACAATGAACGTTTACAAAGATGAACAAATACAGAAAAAAATGTATTGCTCATGGTTACATACATTAACTAATTTTAACAAATTAAACCTTATTTTAAAGTGTTACCAAATTATTTAAAAATTTATTTATTTATTTTTTCCCAGCCCTTTTTATTTACAGCATCTATTGTGGATTCCACTTGAGTGTCCTGTTTCAGAAATAGATCAGAGCTCTGAATTTGCAAAAGTCTTCATACCATCCAAGTTTTGGGGAGGTTAAAGTCAGAACACACAAAATGGCTAAATATTATCCAGCCAGAAAGTTTAGATGATTGGAAAATGATAAATATTTGCTGAACCCATCAGTATCCATCAGAAGTTATAATGTTGGTGTAGTGTGAAGGGTTTGAGCTTGCTAAACTCCCTCTGGCAGAATATACAGCTTTGCCCCTTGAGGGAAATTCAAGCTATAACTGGATTTATCTTAATCATGCTTTTCATGTTGCATTTCCACAATAAACAGCTTGGGAATTGCAGTATCACAGCTTCATATGAAGAAATTAATCACATACAATAACTGAGAGATTGTGTAATATGTATTTTCAGTAATAATTATATGGACTGGTTCCCTATTGAGGAACTTACTGTACATTACCATTTTTAACTTGCATGTCTCACAGTTTGGTTTTCTAAAGCTGCTGCATATTTTGGCTATGGTAACTATAAAATTTTGGCCGTTTTATCAGATATTGGATTTGACTCAAAACACAATGATTCAGAATTCCTTCCAATAAACCAATACTTTCAATAGCAAACAGTGTGTTCAGCAATATGAATTAGAAATTCAGTTGAACAAAGTTCATGGGTTACACTTTATTTCGATAGTCACTTTAGACATTCTACTAACTATAAGTAACTTTTCAACTACATGTCAACTAAGTGTCATTAGAGTATTAGTATATTTTCATTGACTGTCAGTAGACTGTTAGGTTAGGGTTAGGTGTTAGGGTTCAGGTTAGGAGAACAAGTTGACTTGTAGTTGCTAAGTTACTTACAGTCAGTTGAATG